CTATGACATTTATAAATGTATGAATCATATGGTGAAAAACTGACGTTGAAAAATAAATCTTTTCTTTTTTTCTTATAAAAGGCTAAATAAAACAAAAATATTGGTGGTAATTTTTGATTGTTTAATTTTGCAAACGGGACCCCATACCCTGCTCTTTGCTTTGTTTTATTTTAAACATGTTATTTTTTGTTCTTTTCACACTGTCCAACATCCTCTCACATTTTTCAGCCTCTGGGACAAAAAGAACAACCCTGAGCCCTGGAACAAGCTTGATCCAACCTATCAATACAAGGTGACAACTCCCATCACACGCTGCACGACTTGCCTTCCTGCTCGCGCCAAACACGCTTGCCAGAAAACTAAATCCAGACAAGAATGGCATCGTTTCTCTCAAAATCCCACCCAGTCATTATCAGCTTGAAAACTCACCAAAAGAGGGGAGTTAAACAAATCGGTGCTGGCAGAAAGCCTTCTACAAAACAAAGAATCACACAAGTGTTTTTTCAAAAACAAGCCAAAAGCTTTTCGCAGTGTAACAAAGGCCAAAGATCTTGATAAAGTCATGAACACGTTAACGCCACATGCTGAATAAAAAGAGCTGAAAAAACAACCATTTGAAAGATTTCTAGGACACGTGGATGATATATTATCTTAGAGGGAAAAAAAAGATTTTTCTGAGGTTTTCAAGGCTCGGGTACTTGCCAGTGGAATTGAAGTTGCTGCAGACAAAAGGTCAGGACTCGACATGTTTAATTCTCCATAGCGAGGCAAAGGTCTCGCATCAAAATTCCACTGACGTCCAAACAATAATCATAATGAGGAGGGGGGGATAGGAATGAAGAAAGGGTGACGCTCTCAATGGCAGATCGGGAAACATACACAAGGAAAGTAAAATCACTGCAAAAGTATAAATATAGTTTCCATTAGCTGCATAGAAGTGAAGGCATTAAAAAAAGAGTAGGATTATAGTAAATTATGTTTGGATGAGTGTGTTGGCTGAAGAAGAAAAAAGGAAACATTTTAAGTCTTGCTTCACTTTTTACATGCCCTCTTGAAGACAGCGCTGTTAAATTTAATTTAAGCAAAGCAGATTTAAATGTATTCCACCTTCCCTCCACAGTTTGTGGCCGTCAACACCGACTACAAGAGCCTGAAGAAAGACAGACCCGACTTCTAAACAACAACAACAAAAAAAGGTCCTTCAGGCAACTCCAGGGGTACCGAGTTTAACCAGACCCCCTCTCCAGCTGTCGCCTCACTGATCCAGAACTTCCTGTCTCACCTTGTGCAACAGAAATTAATATGGTGAAGACATCGTTTTAAAACATATCACATGAGGACAGTTTTAGAGGATGATCATTTGTTTGTAGGATAACGTTTCTGCTTTATTAAACCCTTTTAATTGGGATAAAAATGTTTGACAGTTTTGTTATACATCTTCTGTTTCTGATAATTAACCCAACTGTCGTAGTTAATAAAATATACCACACACTTAATGTACTTTCAAAGCTCAAATGAGTTACTTTAATGTGACATTTAGGAGAGTAAATCCCTTCAGTGCCTGATCTTTGTGACGGCTCTGTGTGGAGCTGCAGCTGTTTGAGTTAAAGGCCTTGTGCACATTAAAGGGATTTTACCCAAATCTGTTACAATTGTTTTCTGAACAGTGAATATTGTGATCTACTATGTGGAAAACAAAACTAGACTAAAATAACGGCCTGCTTAGGAGTGGTTCTCTGTCTTTAAGAATTAAAAGCATTTTATATTAAATGTAACGGTTTTATTAAGTGTATCTATGTTCAAGTGGAGGAGTTTAAGGTTGTATTCACACCTGACAGTCTGGTGGACTTGGCTCGATTGGGGACCAAAACTAAAGGAATCCTTCACCCACTGAAGTAACCAACACAAAGACCTCAGTAGAAGACAGAGCACAACTTTCTTCCCCACAAAATGTAAACAAACAGATCAGATTTTAATGGTTGTAGGATTTATTTTTTGGTTTTGGCCTGTCCGTCTGTTTTCTTCCGCTTATCCGGGTTCGTGTCGCGGAGGAAACAGCCTAAGCAGAGAAACCCTGACTTCCCTCTCCCAAGCCAGTTGGCCCAGCTCCTCTGGGGGAACCCCAAGGCTTTCGCAAATGTGTCAAACAGTCTTCAACAATGGATTCAGCATGAAAGAAGATGAGGCAGAATCATAGAAAATAGTTTTTTTTTTTGTTTCACACAAGGTGGCTGAGACTGCTCTGTATGAGGCGGCGTTCATCGAGTAGGAGCACGTCCAACTTCACAGCAGTGATGTCCACCTTATAAAGACATCCAGCATTTACACGTTATGAGTAACTGTAGAGCGAGGTGAAAGAGCAATTTGCAGAAGTTCGAGGAAAAAAAAACATGTCATCTTTAAGAGTTTAGGAGATTTTTTTTTTTAATTCTTTGATATACTTGCGACCTGTCTAGGGCAGGGATGGTCAATCCTGGTCCTCGAGGGCCACAGCCCTGCACATTTTACTTGTTTCTCTGCTCCAACACACCTGATTTGAATGAATGGATGATTTTCAGGCTTCTGCAGAACTTGGAAGAAGTCATTCACTGACTGAATCGGGTGTGTTAGAGAAGGGAAAAAAGTCAAATATGTAGGGCTGCGGCCCTCAAGGACCAGGATTGACTATCCCTGGTCTAGGGTGTACCCCGCCCCTCGCACAGTGACTGCTGGATATGGACACCACTGACCCTCATGACTCTGAAAGGAAAAAGTGGGTATAGATAATGGAAGGATGCACTGGAGTAACTTTATTACCATTACCCAGAATTCCCTGCGTTAGTCCACTTCCTGGTTTTGGAGCGGTTTCTGGTCTGCTTGGCGTTCACACCTGTTAGAGTTCACTTTAACTGAACCAAGACCTGCGTTTTCAGTTCGCCTTTTTAGTCTGCATCAGAGTTTGATTACGTGTTCACACCTCCCCAAACAAACCAGACTTTCTAGACAAACAAACTAGAGTTCGATTAAAACGGACTAAACAGGACTGGTGTGAATGCACACTAAGTTGTTTTGGTCAGTTGTGATGAAGCAAAAGTTGAGGTGAAAGGCAAAGCTCTCGATTTTTGTTCCAACCCTCACCTAAGGTTACGAGGCGTGGATCGTGACCCAAAGAGTGAGATTCTGGGAAGGCCTTGGGGTCAGGAGACAGACGTCTGGTTTTCTCTCCTGGACTTGCTGCATACGCAACTTGACCACAGGCAAACGGCAGAAGATTGAGATATATCTACATCCAGTTATATTTTATTTTATATGGAGGTCAACGGATCATTTTCCTCCCAATTACGAACAATCTTTAAACCATGATCCCAATCATGCAGTTAAAAACTAAAAAGTATAACACTGAGCTGTCACTGGTTGGTTTTTTATTGAACCGATGTCTGGTTTGCAAAACACAGACCCTTGCTTTTAATTTTCACAGAAGAAAGAAAGAAAGAAAAAAACATTTATTGAGCTAATCACTTCACAAATCCAGCACTGCTGGGATAAGTAAGTCACACATGAACACATGCTGAGATATGAAGTTGCAGATAAAAAGGACCAAAATAGAAAACCATGAGGGGAATGTGTGTGTGGGTCAGAGAGACCATTTCCAAGCCTGGAATAATTCAGTCTATTAAAAAATAAGTTTTTTTTAAACTCCTGTACAAAGAAAGAAGAAGAAGCATCATCTACAAATATGCATCTCCTGCTGGCTTACCCCCCGTTAGAGGGATTAGTGAATGAAGCATGTTTGTGTACCTTCAGTCAGCATCACAATCCTGCTTTAATGACACACAAACCATCCCAGTGTCAGGCCCTGAGGTCTCCTAACACACTGCCTAATAGAAAATCTGCGTTCTAGTTGCTGCATGGACCCATTTATGCCTCAGAGTGTGTCTGTGGACATATTTAAACACAATATGCTTCATCCAGCCGTGTGCTGACCTGCCCAGTGGGTTCTGTTGGTGGGCTGCAATTCTTTGGGAGTGTCCCCCCCCCCAGACACAAGAGCATCGTTGCTTATTGTGATCATGTTGCTTCTGCTAATATGAAGTTAAAGACCTTGCATTCCTATTGCACTGTATATATACAGTGATTATAGGAATATCCTATAATCACCCACTGCCTTTTATAATAATTAGGATTTGACGTGTTAGAACTCAGACTCAGCTTAACATCTGCAAAACGACCTGAATTAAAGCCATATTCTTTTTGTTTTGGCCGAAGTTAATTAGCTGTGGCAGCCATCTTGAATTGGGTTGACTGACTGTTGTAAATAAATTAGATTTTATAAAAAAAACTTCTTTGAGTTTTATTTAAATCCATCAGGTGATTCATGAGATATTTTGCTCAGGCTGCAAATAAAAGCACACACCTACTGTCTCTATATCCTTGTGGGGACTTTCCATTGACTTCCATTCATTTTTTGGAATTTTTATATCCCTAACCCTGACCATTGGCCCTAAAATTAACCTCACACCTGACCCTAAAACTAACCTAAGCTCAGTTCACACCTTGGTCCTAAACCCAACCCACCAATGGCATTTAAACCAAACGGAGACTCGACTTTTGTCCCCAAATGCACCAATTGTCCCCAAAGGTGGGCGTTTTGTCTTAAAATTGCCCCCAAACGTCACCAAAACCCCCCCCTCCCCCACCCACACACACATTGTTGCTACTTTGCCTTTAGTGGCATGTGATAAAATGTTATGTCTCTCCAAAGCTGTACATCACATTTTGGAAACACTACAACAAACAGACATTCAGAATCAAGTTCCAATGTGTGAATAAGATTAAATAATAACAACAACAACAACAAACTGTATTTTCTGATTTTTACTCCTCACGAGTTGATGGGGCAGCATTTTGAACTTTTGTGAAAAGCAAAGAGAAGACCAAGAAAGACCATCTCCTCCACAACATCCACAAGAGTAGATATTTTTAGATGAGGATTAATTTTAATGTGCGAGATAAGAAGGGAAGTAATGAATGGTGGTGGTGGGGGAGGGGGTGGACGAATATATAAGCAAATAGGACACGCTGCAAAAACAGGAGGCCGAAGCGTTGGAGAGTTGTTGTTGGGAGGCCCTGGGCGGATCCATTGATATCGTTCAGATAGTGAAGCTTTTTTTTTATCACTTTAAAGCTGGAGCATCAAAATCAAACAGCAGATCTGGTCAGAATGCTTCAGTGTTACATTTAAGAAACATGTTAGTAGAAGTTTGGACAATTACTCCGCTTTTTTAATTAAAATACAAATAATTTAAAGTTTGACATTTGAAAAAAATCTTAGTTTTGGTTTTCACAAAAACTTCTGTTCACGTCACAATACATCTCAGCATAGGAACAATTTTATCTTTTAAGGATTTCTACAGAAACAACCTTTTGTCTGCATGTTTTTTATGTAGATGTTGAAAAAGATTTTGCCATATTGATACCAAATATTCTGCAAATATTAAGAAAAAATATATTCAAGCAAAGTTCACAACAATATTAATACAGCTACCTGAGAAAACATAAAAAAAATATATAAAAACATACAGGTAGCATGAATCCCCAAAATATCACCAACACTCTTACAATATAAAGAATGAAAATAGTTTGCGGCTCATGAAAGAAAAAAAAAGATTTTTGCAGAATTTTCAGTTTTGTTCTTAGAATCTCTCATCGCTTCAGGAGTAAGAGATGTTTGTTTCAGTTGTGAAAATAATACAAACATTAAATAATTAAAGAATAGATGATTTCTATTATTAGATTCCTGTTTCAGGTGTGAAAAATATTCACAGGTCCAGGTACAAAGAGGAAAACGTGTAAATTAGAAATAATGGTCTGTTTTAGACTTGCACAAAACATATTCCCACACACACACGGACGCACGCACACACACACACACACACACACACACACACACACACACACNGGATGAGTGATTAGACAGAAACAATGCAGCTGTGCAAAAACATGACATCACTGGCAGTGGTTTGAATGCTCATTCCTACTGTTAAAGAGCAGCAGTCACAACTTTAGTCTGTCACACATCAATCCCTGATAAACACACCCACACACACACACGGACGCACGCACACACACACACACACACACACACACACACACACACACACACACACGGAAATATTTCACCTGGAGTTGAAACTCTTATTTGACTTGAGGATTGTCCACAAATGTCCTTTTTTTTTACCCAGCTTCATGTTTCACATTTACACCAGTCCTAAAAGCATTTCTCTTTTGTTCTGACTCAATGTGTAAAATGTTGTTGCAGATGCAGGATGCAGAGAGACTTCTGCCCCTGAAAAATAAATACAGGAGTGCTCGCTGTCTACTGGCAGGCAGGGGGGTGACTTGTGTGGTTTCGAAAAAAAAGGAAAAAAAAAGAAATTTATTTATACATCTGGGAAAAATTCTCATATCAGCCAAGTTTTGAGTGACAAGCTGCAACCCAGTGGGAGGTCCAACTTTTCACAGCTCTTTGTCAGATGCAGTGTTTGCTCAGTGTTAAAAACACCAAGAGAGTGATGGCTAAAATGATGAACTCCAAGTTTCAAAAATAAATCAGTGCTCACAAACTCATATCCACTGCATCAATTTTTTTTTTTTACAAATTCTAATTCCTGTGTGGGGATCTCAAATCATCAGATCTCAGAGGTGGAAAATTTTAATTAGTGTCTAATATTGATCAATTTAGGCATCTTATTAAAAGAGATTAGTTAAAGTAACAGTCGGTGTTTTGTGTGAGGATTATTGAACATCTAGATGCACTGAAGTGATGCCTTTAGGAGTACTTGTCTTTCATTATTGGATAATTGCAATGCATTAGTGTGGCTTGAATGTATAAATAAGTGTTGGAACGTAGTTACATCTGAACAGACGGCTCATCCAGTTTATATTTAGACCCCCCCCCCCTCCTTTTTTTTAACATGGTCATATCAAGTACTGCCAGGTTTAATTATGACAGGTAATGAAGTGACAAGAGATACACTTGTGTGTACCGTTTCGACACAAACCTAATCTCACACAGACATGACAGGCTGAAGACACATTTCTAATTAATTGCTGACAGTGTCATTTATCCCCCTCCTCATTAAACAGCCATGATTTATTGTCAGATCAGCTAGCAAGGGAATTTAATTTGATCATCTTTTCATTTGAAACTCTGTGTGTAAATGTGTGTGTTTTTCCTGTTATGGCAGAGGGCCGAGCTGAGAGTTTTAAAGGTTTTGATGAATGGCAAACATTACAGGGAAACACAGCAGATTGGCTGTACCGTGTACAATTATGACAATTACAAGTGAGGAGTACTTTTTCATTGCAATTTTTCTTTTCTTGCTCGGGAACCTATTTCTTTTCCAAAAGACTATTTAATAATCCCCTCTGCCGTTAAAGCAACACAGATGAATGATGTAATGAAATAGATCAGGATTACAGTGGATCTATCACAAACTGCAAACAAAACTAAGCACAGAGGACTTTGATCCAAATCTCAGCGTCAGTTTGGTCAGCAACTAAAACATGAACCCAGTAACAAACAGGAGGTTCGAACAAGTCAAAGAACAACTTAAGTCTGGAAAACACTCAGATAATTATGAGAAAAATCTAATTAAATTTGGTCAAACAGTGTTGCAAAATCATAAAAATGTCTCTTTATGTGATTATAAATACGTGACAAAAGCTTTTCCATCAATAGTTAAAAAGGAAGAAACGTTTTTCATGCCGTTTTAAACTAAGCTCATCATAAGAAAAAAAAACAGCGATTTTAGTCAAACCTGGTAAATGTTATGCACAATTTCACAAAGTGGAGGGGTACAGTAGTACTGCAGGGGGTGAAAAATAAATGCTTACACATTGCTCGCATAATTCGACTGGACTCCCACAAAAATGCAAAGTAGTAAGGATTAGAGGGGTCAAATTTGTTCAATTTTTTTTCCTTGTGGGATGATGGTGGGGTTTGTCAGACCTTTTTTTTTTTAATGCAAAGAGGGGTTGTTAACGCTCAGACTGTTTCACAAAAAGACAGAACTGTCCAAATATTCCAAAATAAATTAAAAGCTTTCATAAAGCTATTATTTAAACAGGTGTAATAACCTGAGTGAACAGAAACAACAGCAACCACTGTGAGCAACATGTTTTTCTCATCACACCAAAAAAATCTTCCAGCAGCTCAGAAACATATAAAGTTCTCAGGAAGCAGGAAGTCAGAACTTACATGTACAGAAGAAATCCCCAGCATCAGGTTGATTATTAGTTGGTGAATTCTGAATTACTGGAAGGTGCAAAAATAAAAAATAAAATAAAATAAAAAGAAAGCTCAGTGATTCAATTTTAGGGTAATTCAGAGATAATTTCCTGTTAGTTCTCCAACACACCTGATTCAAATGATGGAATCACCTCCTCAGCAGATCCAGGTGAAGCTTGTTGACCCAATTATCACTTATTCTGTTTTATTTTCCTACAGGTAACACCAGAGGTTATTTAATATTAGTTAGTAAATGTTAATGCAATAATTTAAACGTAATAAAGTTGAAACTATACACTTTTGTTTTCATTGCATGACAAAAAAAAAAAAAAAAAAAAAGCCAAATTACATTTCAATATCAAAATCAGTGACAAAACAAGCGTAGGAACCGAAAAATACAAATATTCCAGCTGTAACGCTGAAAATACATTTATTTAAACCAAAGCAAACTCACAGCTTTTTAGTCCAGACACACTTGTCAAAACTAAGGCCCACTAGTCAAATCTGGCCCCCGTTAACATTTTACCTGGCCCCAAAGGTGATACTTTAAATGTAGTTTAATGGTTTCCCTTTTCATCACTGGGTTTAGTGCATTCTTCTCATGACTGCTGAACAAGTTTCAAGCCAAGAAAATGAAGTTATTTTTCAGTAAACTTTGATTTTGGTGCAGGGTAATAGAGGGTTTTATTATTATTTTTACCTGATTTGCTGGATTGTGATCAAATATCTTTAATAAAAGAGAAATTTGTTGGTAGAGAGTAAGGCTTAAGAAACGAGCCTCCAACATCAGTTTTATTTCAGTCAACAGGCTGTGATACACTGACAATAACAACACAACAAACCATTTATTGCATGATTAAATTTTATTAGGACTATGTTAATAAAATTAATTAAATCTTCTGTAAAACAGTTTGAAATTGTTGCAGTGTACAACAGTACATGAATGAACATCATAGCAAAAATACTGACAGGTACATTTTAATAAAACTGAATGTCGAAAATGTAAATGAACTAGTTTAGATTTACTTTGCAAACCCCCTTACTTAATTTTATTTCTTAATTGTGCTGCTCAGACTATTTTACAAACAAATCTTCCTCCTTCACTGATGCAGTGATGAGGAGTCAAACTGTCAACCAGCTAAACTAAAACACGAACATTAAAATGTTTGTGTTTTAATGTTTTAATAATTAAAGAATACCTTAAAAAGTCATATTAGACATACTGCAGTAAATAGCTTTTGAACAAATAAACATGCTCTTGTAAGATGATTTGAAATTCTGGAAATTAATACAGTTTTTTAAAATGTTTTAAAAATTATATTCTTATTGTAAACAAAATGAACGGAAAGCAAGAATTATCAGAAGGTAACATTTATGTTTTTCCATTCATAACATTGTCTTAGAAAAATAAAAAGCAAATACAATATGACATCTACAACATGCTGAAATGGTGTTATGTTACAAAATTTGACTAAACATGATGGCGTCTAATAATAATACTTCAAATAAAATCCAAACATTTCATTTGAGCATGACCTGTAGTGTATTGAAGTAAATAAATTATATTTAGTCCACATTCTGTTTAATCTTACCTGTTTAATAAACTGATTATATTTTAAACTGGTCCCTCAATCTCTAAAAATAAAAAAAATGCAAGTTCACATTTGGACAAAACCACCTCGGATCCAACTGTCATCTACAAATCTTACTGTGAACACAATGAGGAGTGAAGCTGGTTAGGAATCTTTAGAAAAATTAAGACTCTGCATGTGTCCTAAAGCTAATATTTTTCACTTAGAAAAGTCAAGAAACTGAGATAAAATGTTGGTCTTTCTTTGATTTGACGTTTTCTTTTTCTTCACGCTTGCCTTAAATGAGTAGTGTGAAGACAGCTGAGAATAATCTTCACACAACACAGATAACAGGGTTCTTCTGCTGTGCAAAATCTGTCATCACTCCTTTTTTATTTGTTTATTTACCTCAAACTGAAATACATGATTTTACAAGAATAGACTTGTGATTGACAGCAAAGAAGTTATATAAAAAAAGTGGTTACCTAGATCTGACTGGAAAAGTGAACTTGAGTCGTTCCAATTCTCAGGCACCATCCACATTTCACTACCATGACATTTTTCCATTTTCACTGTGCACACGTCTGCCCAGCCAGCTGTCTGCCACCTGGCTGTCACAGAGCTGTGACTCCATGCTGGCTGGCCTAATGGTCGGGGAACCCAGGCATGGGGAACGGCCTGGCAAAAGCCTCAACCCGGTGCCGCAGATCGGCGATACGAGCCACCGTCTCTGGGTCCTCGAGAAGGAAGTTCTTAAAGTCCTGGAGCTTTCCTGAAGTCACAAACATCAAAGAACAATAACTCCTCCTCCTTTGTTTTATCACCCATGAGCAATTTGATATAATTCAGTAATATTCACATGGAAATAATGAACTGCACTCTGCTTTTACCTAGAAGACAACACTGTGATCCTACCTGTCTTCTTTTTGACGTCTAAAGCTATTTTGAAACCTTCATCCATGAACTCAACAACTTTGACAAAATCATCTTCCTTGAACTGTCTGGAAGTCAAAGCTGGAGCACCTAAAGAAAAAAAAGTGTTATTTATTCTCTTTTACTTTTATGGACAGAGCAGCCTTTACAACTGTAAATATACACAACAATGTGTCAAAACTACACAAAATCTGATGGTTGATGGAAACTCGAGTTGTTTAACCCAAGGGGTTCTGTTGAAGTTTTTTCTCTAATACATGCTGAAATGTAATTGAGCGTGTCTCAGCATTTACATATTCTGCTTAAATAATCTTGGTATCAAAATAAAGCAAACACTTGGGAGATTTCATCAGAAGTGAAGTATTAAAACGGCTGCTGTGGTTCTAGAGATATTGAGGATGGAACATAATTTTTAAATTCTTTTTTCACTCTCACCTGAATAATTTTTGCATTAGACAGAATATAACCCATTTAAAACCATAATGAATACAGCTAAAAGCTCTTGGAAACCATAAATCCACATGTGGACATTAACTGTGCAAAGATTCATGCTGCTAAAATTAACTGGAACAAAGTTACAGAGGTTTTAGTGAAGAAATAATTTTGCATTTTGTCATTCTGCACAGGACAGACCACGATGGCACCATTTATAAATGTTAACAAATATTAAGTTTTTACTTCCAAAAATTATTTATTTTTTCTTACCTGCCTTAAAAGACTTGTTATTGAATGTTTGTTCTTTTGAAAAGTTATCCAAACAATTATTTGTCACCATATTTACTATATAAAATAATGAGAAATTGTTTTTGACTACAGTTGGATCATATTCACTCAAAATTAAGTAAAAAAAACTTTAAATACACTTTATAACATATTTAGGAATCTACTTTGACTTGCTTTAGAAAAAAGTCAAAAATGTTTCCTTTACAGATTTGCTTGAATGTATTTACAGATTTGCAACAATCCCATTTTGTACAATTTGTTTACTTTCTGATCCAACTGCTTGACATTTGAACTGCGTTTGGTGGATGTAAGGATAGTTTAGCCAGGATTATTAGCTTTCTTTTGATACCAAACATGTCCAGGTTCAACTGACAGATCTTAAGTAAAAACAAGTTAAAAGAAATAAACGGAAAAAGCTTTTCGCCCCGGATACCGGGGGCATGGGGCTCAAGAGGTTAAAAGGATAAATAACTACAGAGCAGTGTACTACAACTAAAGAGCTTTCCTTAAAGAAGTCATATTATGAAAAGTGATCATGCTCTTATGTATGAAAATCATTAGGAGTCTAGTTTAACATATAAAAGAGTTCCTTACCCAGCCTGAGGCCACCAGGGGTCAGGGCACTCTTGTCCCCAGGACACGTGTTCTTGTTGGCGGTGATGGACACGAGCTCAAGCACCCTCTCAGCTCGAGCCCCATCGATGCCTTTAGGCCGCAGGTCCACCAGAACCAGGTGGTTGTCGGTCCCACCTGGAATGCACATTTAAATAATCTAACCAATGCTGTGCCATGGGTACGTTTTTCATACTTATACATGATAACTTTTCAATTAGAGATGAATTTGTATATTTTTTCCCTTTATTTTACCACTAATGAGTAAAAGATAAGAGGATGTGGATCAGGGCGAGGGTCAATAGTATCCATCCCCAGCCGTCAGATACCAAACGCTCCCACTTGATAGTACTGGCACGCCACAAGTCACACCTACTACAAGATGCTGCACAAGTTTTGATTAAAGTTAGGCTTCAGCCACACTTGTTGTGACAGATGCTACAATCCCACATGTTCTGTCATTGTCATGCCGTCTGCAGAAAGACTTATCTCCAGAAGATGATAAATGAGCAGTTTATATATTTGGATTCCAAGCAGCTTCCAATACTGAAGTCGCCGCTAATCTTTCCAGGGTTTACTTCCTCCAAATAAATCATAAAAGCATACATCAACCTCATACGTGTGGGTTGTGGCTGCAGCGGGGAGGACAGAATCGGAAATTTATAAAAGAATAACTAATCACAGGTATCAAAACATGTCATGAAAACGCTTAAGTATTCCTCACCCAATCAGATAATACTTGTAGGTTGGTGATCTGAGGTGATTATCATTTTTCAAGATCCATGACAACTTTTTAAAAACTATTGATAAAAAAAGACCAATACTTACAATAAAATCCAAAGTTTTACACACTTAATGTTTTATTTACAGAGTGCAAAAAAAGAAGAAAAAGAAAACAGATCCACCTTCATTTTATATCTCAGGTATTTGACTTAAGTTGTGGTCTTCATGTACTGAGACACAAAACAGGTGACTATTGCTGGACTTTAGCTACAAAAACATTTCTATAAGCCACCTAAATGTTGTCAGCCTAAGAAGGATGTTTTAACACTTCAAATCTGTATTTACTTTGACAAGCTTTGAATAAATACTATTTTTTAAATCAGTGTGCCAAAGGTTAATCTTTTTTTCTTTAGTAAATCAGTATTTAAAACGTGAGTATGTACAAACTGCAGTGTAAGCACAAACAAGTCGATTTTTTTTAAAAAAAGGTATCAATTTAGGGCTATACATCAAAAAGCAGCTGAGGCCAGCGTATTAAATGCTAAACAAGAGTCAAGTATTTGCTCACAATCACAAAACAACCACTTTCATCAGATTTTATTTTCTTGACTGACAAGGCAGCTGTACAAGCATTGGCCCATTTGCACATCATGAATTTAAATGCAACCTTTGTTCCCCCCCAACCCCACTGAGAAATTTGCATTTTGTGGCAGGTGGTTTTACATGAGTTTCTTTGCCATACAATAGATCAATGTCTTCTGTAGGAGTAGAAAAACAACAAAAAACAAACAAAAAACATGATAGATTACCTGATACCAGTGTGTAGCCTTTACTGAGAAGAGCTGAAGCCATGGCCTTGGAGTTCTTGAGTACCTGGGCAATATAATCTCTGAACATGGGAGCTTGTGCCTGGACACACCAAAGCACAAATATTAGTATTCTAGTATTACAAATCAAGTTTTTTTCTTTTATTTCATCACACTGAAGGTGGGTATTTGTGCTGGACAGACCTGCTTTAAAGCCACAGCTACACCAGCAATGGCATGGTTGTGAGGTCCACCTTGGAGGGAGGGGAACACTGAAAAGTTGACTTTGTCTTCCAGGTCGTACATGATTTCCTTTCCTTTCTTGTCCACTGAGCGAACACCTTTACGATAAAAGATGAGGCCAGCCCTAGCGAGAACAGAACCAGTACGACAAAGCAATTTCATAACTGTGATGACCCTCCCAGTCCACTAGGTGTCTCTGTTGTTTTTCTTTTCTTTCAGGGAGTCGGCGGAAGTACGCTCAGGCCCAGTCCCAATGCTCAGTGCGCACCCTACGCACCTCTGTGAAGTGTGGATACAGTTGAAGTGCACATAAGTGTTCGAGTGCGCAGGTTACAAGCGTGCAAAACAATTGAGAATTGGGACAGTAAGGATTACGTCATCAAGCATCAGTAGCTACCGGTCGCTGTTAGGCCAAATTTCATATATAAATAAAAGCAAATGTTTAAAGAAAGAAACAAATTTTATCTCCTTCATGATTGAGTTTACATAATATATGCAATGCATTCACTTCTCTACTAATAGGAAGGCAAAAAAATTACAATGTCTTGCTAACTTTTTGGAATTCCTGATTTAACTTTGTCGTGATTGGTTCTTTTTTGTGGTGTAATTATTTTATTTAATGTTTATTTTATTATTATTATCACAATTATTACATATATTTATACATATTGTTTAACTCTTTTTTTCATTTATAGTATTTCATTCACCCTGGCAGCATTGTTATTTTTGTACCATGTTTGAATGTTCCATAAAGGTTTATTTTAAAAAAAAGTTGCTGTTTTGGCAGCAATGAATTGTGGGTAATGTACTTCACCGAAGTCCGTAAAAATGCAGACTTCGCGGAAGGGTGGAAATAGTACCCAAAATGGGCGGGGCAAAGGGCGGATGTGGAGAATGTGGGACACACTACGCACTCAAACCCTTCAACATCAATGCGCATTTGAAGTGCACAAAGGCGGAATGAGGGTGGGAGTGTGGGTATTGGGACAGGGCCTCAGGCTGGGGGCTAAAGGGCGGGTTTCCTGCCAGTTACGGCTGCTGGATTTTGGCCTCCAGGTTGGACCTTGCAGCAGTGTTGTGCTCATGGGCTGTGGGAGACAACCCTTTTCTTTATTTTTGTTAGAATAAATTTTTTTTCTTCATCAAATCCGGTCGTCTATCTCCTGTTTTTGTCATAGTCTTGAGTCTGGCTGTGACAAATGGGGGCTCGTCCGGGGTTTGAACCCGGGACCTCTCGCATTTGTCCCCATTTGTTACAGCCCGAGTCAAGACTATGACAAAAATGGTCTGCTATGGTCTGCTACAGCCCATGAGCACAACACTGCTGCCTGTTCCCACCAGGTACAACCTGGAGGCCAAAACCCCGCAGCCGTAACTGGCAGGAAACCCGCCTTTTAACCTCCAGCCTGAGCGTACTTCCGCCGACTCCCTGAAAGAAAAGAAAAACAACAGAGACACCTAGTGGACTGGAGAGGGTCATCACAAATGTAAAAGAAAATGCGGTGTTATTCTTGATTATTTAATTCGTTCCCGTCTTTTACCTCTTTGGCTCAATGACCGTCCTTACCTTGCTCCTCTGAGGGACTTGTGTGTGGTGGTAGTGACCAGGTCAGCATGTTCAAAGGGGGAAGGGATTGCTTTGGCTGCCACCAAACCACTAATATGTGCCATGTCAGCCAGCAAGTACGCATTTATTTCTGTGCACAGCTGATACAAAAAGCACAAAAAAAGAAGAAATCACAGGAAATTGAATGAGACCAAGGTGAAAGTGCTGCCAGAAACTGCTTCAGTGCCATCAAACTACACCACATGGTGCTACAAGCCTTTATGACTCATGTAAACAATTTTATTTGGCTTCCTATGTTGAAATTTAAGATAAAAGATAAGCTCCTAGCTTTTCTACGTTTGCATCTTCTCTGCATGATTAAGATTTGATAACTTACTCTTCATCTGCTGGCGGTACCTATTTTCTCAGAGGGAAGATATTTCATGATGTGTAATTACACTCTCATCTGCAGTCTTAAGAGGCCTGAAATATTATGGCAACATTCAATAAATCCATGCTTTCACTTGCCAGCATTTACTGAAAAAGGCAGAAACAATAAATAGCTTGCTAAAATGTAAATGACTCACTGGCAACTGATCAGAACAGTAAATCTTTTGACTGTTGCAATTAAAATGCATTATCAGGGCAAAATTCTTTCTTTTCGCTAAACTGGATCAATGTAAGTGTATTAGGAGAAAAAAAGGAAGGTAAAGTGAGTAAAGAACACAAGAGCGTGTTTTAAAATGGTCGGAGGCCAGCAGAGTAAAAAACTCAGATGAAATCGAGGTAGTATACCAGTAAAATGCCCAGCTACAGAGTGGTTATGGTGGTTAATAAAAACACAGCTCTGTAATGGTGGGACACTCCATCTGATGGTACTATCTAAAGTGGAGCTCTGCTACAAAGGGAAGCAGTCATGGAGTGAATGAAGTGAATCAGCAGGTTGGTATAACAAAACAGATAAAGGGTCCTCTTGTGCGCCATGAAAGTGGGCAGTGAAGTGTGCATTTAGAAGTTGCTACTGTGTGCTGAGAGAGTTTACCAGGCAACAAAACTTCCTCCACAAAAATGGTTTATTGAGACCAAAACCATTTGTATTTGGAAATGCTATAAAACATTTAAAAAGTGAATGATTTGGATTTAAGAAAATACTTTAAATGCAAGGTAGAAATATCCCTGCGACAAACTCTGGCCAGGTCAGACGCACGTTTAAAAGGAGGGAGGTGTGTTTGACATTTCAGTGAAAGGGCTGAATTAGTTTAACATTGGGGGACAAAAGCTGGTCTAACCTCACTTACACAGAGAGAAGTGAGGAAAGAGGTAGCAAGAAAGCAAGGACAGGGTGAAAACAGGGTGAGGTTGTTTGAATAAAGGGATTTCAATTCACCTTCTTGATGCGGGCATAGTCAATGAGGCGAGCATAGGCGCTGGTGCCAGCAATGATGAGCTTGGGCCGGAACAGCTTGGCTGTCATCTCCATCTGCTCGTAGTCTATGAGTCCCGTTGCAGGCTGCAAAAAAAAAAGTAAAAAGTGAGAGGAGAGAGAAAAGGTAATGAAAGAAGAACGAATGAAGAGGATGTGGAGGAGGAATATGAGAATATACGTAGGAGAGTAAGGGTCAGGGTAAAAGGAAACATGAGAAGATAAAAAAAGTCAGATATTTGGAGATTAAGAGTGAGCATATCGACACGGAGAAGAGATTTTTCCATTTGAAGCTGCTGCAATTGAAGTACTTTGGCTACTTTAAAAGGGGAAGGGATCTATCTAAGGGAGACATTTACACCTATCATATCGTGCAGGAAGATGGAGCAATTGCAGTAATGCACCCCTACTTATCCTAATTCAGGCTTTTAGGAATCTGCTAAACTGGTGCCATGAGGCTGAACAGATGAAGCTGGTTTTAAGACTCTCCCTGCTTCTTTCAATGATCTGGGATATTTTTAAAAAACGTGTTAGTTAATACATAAATCAAGAGGATGGAGTTCAGATTCACATAAAATGACCAGTGTGTCCAGTTCCTCGTTCTACAGTCTAATTTTCCTCCAAACATTCAAGTAGTGACAATAAAAGTTTGTTGGATTTAGCAGGAAAACAAAACAGGAGACAGATACAACAGAGAATAGAGTGTCAGAAACATGAAAAAAGGAGGGAAGAGAGAGGAGAGGAAGTTTTATTTAGACAAGCTGATAATCTCCCATCTCCAGAGCACTTCTATGGATGCCCCCTCACTCCATCAACCTGCTCATTGTGAAGACAGAGCCAGTGATGCTGGCCAGCCTGTCGATTTCCCATTATCTTTCCCACAGAGGGGTCTTGCCTGCCCATACATCAGCAGGTCTGGACATGCAGACCCTCTCTGCCATCCATCAACTGCTACCAACACTATCACAGAACCATAAACCCTCAGAATAAAATACATTAGATATATCACAGACTGAATTATAGCAATTGTATGTGGTATGTACACGCATATATTTGAAAGATTTCAGTGCAACTAAACAACCCAAAGAATGTTTTATTTAGTATTATACAGTGAAGAGCAGTTATACATCAACTTAAACACTCTCTTTTAGTAAGGAACTGTTGTCTGTCGGGTTTATATTTTTTGTGTTAGGAATGAAGCCACACTGACTTGTATCCTCAAAGTGTAGGCAAAGAAAAAAAAATCTATTGAAAAGGAGTGTATTTTGTATTTTTTAGGAACATAGTTCAGCTCTACACCACAAATCAAGTAACTGCTAACTTCAGTTATCAAAAATAAATCTGACTTTGAATCATAAACTAAATCTGAACACCTTCAAATTAACCTCTGTCTCTTTAAGAACCTCCTACCGCTTCAGACACTCCCACTTCAGCACATCATCACATCACAGCTTCATGCTGTTTACAACCTTTTGTAGCAGCGTTGGATTCTGTTGTATAAAACGAAGCATTATATAATATCGGTTTTGGAAACTAACTCAGGAAACTGAACTTTACTTGAAGGATTCCATGTTGGACCCGGAAAGTATGTTTTCTGAAGAACTGGAGCGAGTAGAGAGGCTCTTACAAGATGTTTCAGCCTGGTGATATATCTCCCAGTCAACCTCTCATACGTACATATTTGTCAATGTTAAGATACTATGTGTGTCGAAACTATAAATATAGATTATTATGAAGCTACGTTTTGCAATGAAATCATGAACTTCCACCAGTTTTAAGATCTGTTCTGCTAGTCTGCTGGAACTGTGAGGAGGAAGTAGTTTTGCTACAGGAAGCAGCTTTGGGGGAATAGGCGGTGCTTTGTATGAGCAACTGTTTCTGCAGGAGATTCAAGGATTTCTCAAATATACATGAATGAGGCAAAGCACCACTCTGGGTACGTGTTTGATGTGAGACTGACATTATAACAAGATATAAAGCTCAAAAAAGTCTATTTTGTATAACACAAAGCCCCTTTAAAAATAAATGTAGAACATATTTCCTTAAATACCAAAATAATTTATATTAAAAAAGTTAGATTTAAAGAAGCAGAAAGTCATTAGTCTTCACATATAATTTATAATGTATGAAATCAATCCAATTATTGAAAAAAACAAACCAAAAAAAAAAAAAAAGTTGTGGCTGCAACTGTCACCCCAGGGGTTAAAACACAATTTTCTAAAGGCTCCCTAACAAGGAGCCAGACATACCCTCAGGTCAGCCGAGGCTAACTCTGGTTTGATAATATCCTTAATGAATATTTCTGTGTATAAACAGTATGCTGGTGTGTAGTATTTGTACTGGATACAGATTATTTTTTTTACTGGATACGTCTACTTACATTTAACTTGTAGGGCATAGACTCAAAATAGATTGAGGTTGCAGAGATCCTCTTCACATCAGACATGTAACCATGTGTCAGACTGGAGGGACAAAAAAGAAAATATACACAGCTTTATTCTGAAAAATAGCTTTTATAATTGAAGAAATAATAATTTTAGCTTACTAACTTGTGCAGAAATATAAATGGATTCTTTAGGTCACTAGTGTTAATAAAGAAAAAAAAAAAGATAATAGAAGAAGCAGTGAGTACTGACTGTCCTCCATCAGGCAGGTCTAAGCCCATGAGACGTTCATGGGGCTTGAGCACGGCGGTGTAGGCAGCAAAGTTAGCGGGAGAACCAGAATACGGCTGGACGTTGGCACCCCACATTTCTGGGTTCAGGTCGAAGGCCTCCAGAGCTCGTTTCTGACACAGAAGCTCGATTTGGTCAACCACCTCTGCTCCACCGTAGTACCTGCAGTTATGGTTGAGAAAGACAATTTACAAATATGCTAAAATTAATTTTCATTTGATGCAATTTAAGCAAACAAATTACAAAACTTCTGCTATTTTTGGGAGCTTCAGAATCCAGCATTAAGACATCCTTCAACTAACTCAACATTATTTATCATTTATCAAGATTTATGACTGAGCTCACAAGGTTAAGGTGAAATTATTTGGTCTTTTAGTTTAATTTTACTCATCTTTAACGCCAGATGGAAGGACAATTTTTTAGATTATTCAGTACAAAGGAAATCCTTTCACATAGTCGTTTAATAAATTATTACATAGAAGATTAAAACCACTTCATGTAAAAGCTTCTACACCCATTGGCATTTGTCACAAACAGAGCAAATGGTTAAAAAAAAGGTAAATCAACCAATGCTGATCCCACAGAGCTACAACAGATTCAGGGCATGTCAGGTGAAAAATGCTTGAAAACATTTCAACGAAATTACAGATAAAAGAAACAACACAGCCACAACACAAACCTTTAAATCAAAGAAATGATCCTTTTGTTTCATTACATTAAAGCGTAAAGCAGCAGATGAGTAGGAAGCTGGGTGGGGGGATAAAAATTAAAAACACATACAGTGGGAGGGAGATTTATGAGAAGCTTGTATTCTAGGATTCAAAAAGGCATCAAACATTAACATTAACATTCAAAGCATGCCAGCTTTCAGTTTGCTGCTGAGAAATGTGAATTATCCAAAAGACACAGCAGAAAACAAACAAAAAACATTCAGTTATCACTTTAGCAAGACAGCGGCTGTGGATTATTTATTACATGGTTGAGGTGTGTGTCACAGGCTGTCTAAAGAAAAAAAGTATAAATTGGTATGTGTCTGTGTGCGTCGTTATTTTTTTACAGGTCTGCAGCAAATGTCCTCAAGCACAGAATATCAGCAGTGTTAATAAGGTGAGGTGTGGCTGAATAAACGGTTACCTTTTCCCTGGGTAGCCCTCTGAATATTTGTTGTTCAGACAGGAACCCTGAGCTTCCAGAGCTGCTCGACTGCAGAAATTCTGTGGCGAGAACACACAATCAAGCACACGCACACTTAGATCAATGAAACGAGAGGATAGAAGGGACAAGGATGGCAAATTAAAGTCTGTTAAGTGATAGTGAGAAATCCCCCTCTGGCAAGAGGCAATCATTACAGTATTGAACCTCTGGACATCCATAGACTAACACTCTACACTTCACAGTGCTTATCGCCAAGCTGCTGGAGGATACAAGATAATGTAATAAATGTCTCTGAACATGTTGAGATACAATTTTTCAGGCCCTTTTACTATAACTTCTCTCTTTCAGGGAAAAACAAACGTTAGCACGTTTTGCTGAAAATAGGCACGGGTCGAAAACAGGGCCAAGAATGTGACCTAACATTCACGGTCAAACGCATCCTTAACTCTTTTTATTCATTTATTTTTTGACTGGCTGGTTGGGCTGTATCCTGTATGAGTGCTTATGCTAATGCCTCACCAAGGAGCAAAGAGGAGATCAAGGAAGATAACAGCTCCAGTAACAGCTTTCTGTTGCATCCGTCTGTCATGGAGATAACTGTGCATATATTAGCAAAGGAAATGCATTTGATTCGCGGGGCTTTGAGGTGTGTGTGTGTGTGTTGGGTGGGCATGTGTGTAAAAATGTATGTCTTCTGATTCAAGCAGTGTCTGCCTGACTGTACTGTGATGGGCCTCGCAGAGTGAGTTAGGAGGGAAGCAGAATGAAGATATCAGCTTTATCTCACACTAGAGTGGTCAGGCTTTGTTTGGAGAGGAGCCTGATATACTCCACTGAACAACTATTGTGGCAAAGAAGAAACAAGAGGAGAGGGGAAGAAAAAAAACCCCAAAAACATAAAAGATAAAGCCTTGTCTGGCCTTCTGAATAGTAAAATTCTCCATTTCACGCAGTCTTGCCCGGGAATGAAAACAAACAGGCTGCCCGAATACATTGCTGTGAGTACAAAGTTATTCTTGCTTAAAGCGAGGCCAGTTTCCTGCAGATTTTATGACTAAAGTAGCCAATTCTGAATAATTGTACTGCACAGTTTGTCAGTGGGTGACAAATGAAATGAATGTTTAGTGAGGTTGATATTTATCTGTTCTAGTCAGATTCTGCAATAAATGTTTTATCATTACTATGTTTAATACTAAATACTATTCTATAAACCTTGTAGGATTGAAGAAACAGGATAATTAGTGCAATAAAATACAATTCACAGAGAATTTGGAAATTAATGAGTCACGACTTCTTTGCACTCAATGAATTTTCGATGCAATGCCCTTTTTATTTGTTGTGCTTAATGCACCATACTGTATTCCGTGTAATAACTAAAAGAGGACTTTTTATTTAGTTAGCCTTTAAAAATCTTTAACACAAAGGCTTCAGTCAGACAAACGGCAGTACAGCTGTTTTGCCAGAACGTTAATCAGAGATGAAGTACTTTCAGCTACCTGCGCTGCCAAAATACAAGTGCTGCCAACTCTTACAGCGCGAGTAAGTGCTTACACTGTTTCTTTAAACACAAGCCAAACTAATCATGGCGAGATGAAATTTCCACTAAAATGACTGATATAAAAAAATTAAAATAAAAACAAATAAACAAAAATTCAAACTGCAATCAGAATACCTGAAACGTCACACTTTGTGTTGAGAAGTTTACGTCAATGGAAAACATGTGCTAATTATATCAAGCTGTTCAAGAGGTTAAAATGTGATTTTCTGAGATTACCTGATTTATTTAGTTGTTTTTAGTGAAGCAAAATTTTAGAAAAGAAGAAGTTTGTTAGATTGCACAGGAATCCAGTGAAGGACTTAAACCTCTGGAGACAAATAAAAACAGAAACAAATGTAGTCATCCATCTTTAAAGATGTTCATATGCAATTAAACTACTGTCTTGAACATTTTACATTAGTTAAATATACATTAAAATAATAAACTAAATTGTTGTAATGACATTGTCAGACATAGTGGAAGATTTTATTTTTTGAAATTATTAAAATATCTTTGATCAACAAAAAAATTGTTTTTGAAAAACAAAGTTAGAGTTGCACAAAAATAAGAAGTCATATCGTCAAAGTTCGAACAAAAGGAAACTCAGTCATAAATATTTATTCTGCATTAGACAAAAATACGTTGCTGGAACTTTTGTTTGGTACAAGTCTAATAAAAAAATAAACATAACTGCCTTCAGAAAATGGGCACCTTTCCACTGTCACTGAAAATATACAGTTATATGTTTTGTAAAAGAGAAGTGGAGATGACAGACATTACTTCTGCAGTAAATTATATTGTACACAGTGATATTTTGAAACTTTTTGCTTATTTAAGGCTGATGTAGTAATACTTTTAGATGAGAAAACAAAAGTTTGCCAAAGAACAAAGAAAAACTTTTAACAGGAAAGAGGTATAAACTTGGTGGTTTGGCCAGTAAAGTAACAGGGACAGAAATTAGGGAGGGTTTGGGTTAATGAACCATAAGTTTGATTATTAATAAGGAATCTTATTTGTCAGATGTGAAAATTATAGTTTTGTTTTCTTCCTGTACTTCAGTAATCTGAATAAACTCATAAATTTGCAATACTCCTAATACTCTGAGGTTTTACTGTATGTAAAAAGTTTATGTCATATCAGCAATTATTGTTTGATCCATAAAACAGAACTGAAAAACATCCGAGTGTGGTAATAATATAATTTTGCTATGGAAGATTTAATCATGGTACTTTACTTTATCTGTTACTTGTTCTTTGAATCAGTCTCTACCACAAGATATTCATTGCTTTTAAACTAAAACAGGGAATAAGAACTGATTAGTTGTCAAATGTAAGTACCTCAGATGCGATTAGCTCCAAACCACGACACTGTCGGTCTTTCTCCTTCCGCAGCAGAGCCCACATTTCAGGGTCATCCTCAGCCAGGCTCTCCTGACCAGTCCAGGGGCGGTCTTCATCTGCTGCATGGGTGGCTGCGTGGGACTGCTGCAGACGTATGCCGAGATGAACAGGGGCTCGCTGGCACAGTGGCTGGGGGGAGCAGGAATATTGGGGTGTATGAGAAGAAGGATAATGAAACTAGAAGGGTTAGAATTTAAGCATTTCCACTTAAAATCTGTTATCTGAAGCTGCACTGTTGCAATGAATGGATTAGGAAAACTGACACAAGCTGCTGAAACACTGGGACACATAAATTAACATTTTTGATGAAAGTTGTTGGGCTCAGAGCGAGTTGCACGGAACATAATGTCTCTATAATGCATGCATGCTTGATAAGTTCACATTTTCAAAGTGATTTGTTTGATAAGAACTCTTTTGAAGTCCTTTCCTCTCCCTTTCCCCCCCCTTTCTTTCACCCCAATATGTAGCCTGGCACAATTAAAAGCTTGTGTGTTTGCACGATATCAATAATCAGCATGGTTATTCAATTATGCCTCCATCATCACTTCTGCAAACCGAGGGGCTGACTTTTCCAGCCTTAGTGTACCAGAAAGGAGGCAGAAAGAGAACAGATTCAGCACTTCCTGCTTATCTAATCTGGACTGGGGCTGGCAAGTTCTGCTGCTTCCACTGCAACGCTGGATCACACCAGACTGAAGAGACTAAAATTTAAACAAGCTCTTATTTTTATTTTTTTAAAGTTCTTTACTGAACTGTGCTTCTATTTTTTTCTGATTATACTCTTGATTCAAAGCTTTTAGTCATGGATAAAAGATATATGAATTCTGAATCAAAAGTGAAAAAAAAATCCTCTGTTAAAGAAAGCTTAGAGGTTAAATAAAATCCTCGACAGGTTGATTGCATTTGGAACAAACCGGGTCCTTGGTGACATTTAATCAACATATGATGATGACTCTGTGCTTAGATCGATCGCCCCACATCTAACCTATAGTTATCATCTGTACAGGTGTGCCGGGGTGTGAGGGACAGCCTCCCTTTAATAGCACTATTAAAAAGCAATTAACACAATGCTTGGGACTAGATAAAGACATCCATATTAAAAAGCTATTATGCTCATTCCAGGTTTTCATAAAAATTTGTAGGGAATTATATTTTTTAGTAAGTAGCCTATTTAAAAATAAAACCTAACAAAAGAAACAAAAATTTACTTATTGTTGTTGTTACAAATGTTTTTTTTTTTGGCTCATTCTAAACTCAATGCCTCTTCCTGTGTTTGTTGGTCTAGCAGAGGGGCCAGTGATGACACACCAGGGTACAGATGGCTCACTGATTAACAGTTTCTAAACGTCTCTACCCTGGCTTTCTGTCACCGCTCGTAGAGATTTTGGAAAGGTAAGAATCCCCTTTCAAAGTTTTGGAAAATATTAGGGCAGAGAAAGACAATTTGAACTGCATCTGAAACTGTGGTTCTCACAAAAAAAAAACAAAAAAAACAAATGGGTCATTTAATCTTGACTAGGGCTGTGTATCGGCAAGAATTTGGYGATACGATACATATCATGACAGAGGKGTCACGATACGATATATCCCGATATATTTCAATAATGTAAACAAGGCGATATATTGCGATATTTTTGGTCCAAAATCTCTGTTAAATAAAAACCTCTTACAGGGAAAAAAAAACAAAAAAACAAAATTCATTGTCTCAGAAAATTCTAATATTACATAGACATACTTTTGATACATTTAGCTGTGTTCTGCTTTGTATGTGTTTTATTTTATTTGTTTCATATTTCATCCAAGTTTTCAATTATTAGACTAAATTTGCCAATAAATTGTTTGAAAATATATATTTTGCAGCTTTTCGTTTTTAATATTAATTTACAATATCGTCACCCAACACTTAACAATAGCGTTTATGTTGTCATAAAGTTCAGTAAACATGATATGAAGCTGCTGCACAGAGTTTCTGGGATCAGCTGACCTGCATCCAGAACGTGATTTGTATAACTGTGGGTCGAACAGCAGGGCAGGTCCCGAAGAAAACCAGTTAAGAAATTGAGAAGCTAAATGAGTTAAACCATTTTTGAAGCGAACACAGCAGGATAAAGTATATGGACTTTGATGCGATCATCAGCCGGACATTAGCTATGTTTACATGCACAAAATGTTTTAATCGGATTGAAATGTATTCAGATTAAATAATCCGAATGTACTGTTTACACATGGACACAATCCGATCATGAAAAGTGTTTACATGCACCGGAGTTTTATTCAGAATAAAAGTCCGGACATGCGCAGTGTTGTAAACTTTCAGCTCTACTTCCGTGTTACAAACGTAAACAACGCTCCTCTGTGCGTTCAGGACGGACCCATGTCAGCTTTTAATAACGGTAGAGACGCCGTTACTCCTCGGTTGAGCTGCAGATGAAGCAATACGTGCTTTTTATTTTTATTTTTTGTGAAGCAATGTCTGCTGTTTGTTTAAGAGAGTGAGGAGGAAAAGTTCTGCACGGTGCAGCGCAGCTGTCCCACCGGGTGAATGAAAGTCAGCAGACATACGCACAGGTCAGTTTTCTACAATCAGAATAAGATGATCCGATTAAGTGTTTACATGAACGTCATTCCGATTATCAATCGGCATAACCCACCCTTCTCATTCGGATTAAAAATTCATTCGGATTGAGCTCAATCGGATCAGAATAATCGGAACGGGCTGTTTACATGACGAATTTTTATTCCGAACGGTTGTTTAATCCTAATACTTTTGTCCATGTAAACGTAGCTATTGAGAGCAACGGACAGAGTTTTATGTCACGGGGGGAGTGCCGAGCTCGCTCGAGGTGATAAACGCATGCGCTATACGTAACGTGAAACCTGACTACAGTTGGAAAAAAGAGCACACAAGACACTTAATTTGTCTTAAAATACAGACATTCTGACAAATAAGTAACTGTTTGTAACCTTACCTCAGCTTAGAAGGCAGAGGGTGTCAGTCTTTTCCACTCAGATTCAGCTATCGGAGCACGAAGCTAATGGCTGTGTCCAAAAAGACAGGCCGGGTCCTCCGG